TATATATATATATATTATATTATTTGTGTCATTTAATTCGATTGATTTCCTCGAAATGTATTTATTATAATATAATAATAGAAAATTTTCGAAATTTGATATTATTTACGTCAAATAAACTTTATATCGTGTGCTGTCCCGTTTTTGACATTCCGATATCAACCTAACAGCGTTGGGACGATCAGCGTTCATTTCTATGGGAGGTACAGGTGTGGCAGGKCTTCCTTCACCTTGACTGAATGCTCTACGTGGTGGCATATCAAGAATACGTTGAGTTGATCTACATTCTAAACTACCTCGTTTACCACTTGGATTATTTATTATACTAGCATAACTCGCATCGCTAATTCTCGAATTTCTTTTAATGGGAATTTCGGTAAGTTCGGTGCTGTAACTCGCACGAGATTCATCCGATCTTCCGCTCGCGTTAGAATTTCTTTTATTATCGTTTTGTATTATTCGTTGTTGTTCAGCAATTCTCGTTCTACCGGAATCTTCCCTACTATCCGATCGATAACAACTACCCTTCCTTCGACATTTTTCGTCGTAATCGTCCGAATGCGTGCGCCGATTTTGTATTCGCAATTTTTCGGCAGTACCACGCAATCCAAGGTCCTCGGAATTGCTATGCCTTTCGATAAATTTCTTCGATCTTTCGTCAGTGTCGCTGTGAAATACCTGGGACTCATCTGTTCGATGCATTTGCGATCTTGTATCCTATGAACAACAAAACAAATCACACACATTTTTCTTTTTTCTTCGGTTCGATATAAATTGTATTATAAATAATATATTATAAAGGTTCCGAAGTTTGTTTTTTAATTATTAATATTTCCAAAGTAAATTTTGTAGAAAAAACAAAATACAAATGCATCGTGCAGTTTATATAACACATGAATTTTTGACTCACTGTAATATTGTATCGTTGTATGATATAAAAAATCGGGAGATAATTTTACTGTTTACTTTAAATGTTTAATATTTATTATACGAAATATAAATAATTTACCTTGATTTTCGATGACCTATCGTTAAATTCCATATCTTGACTATTTCTACGAGCCCTTGGTGGATTTCTTTCATCCTCGCTACTACTTTTACTTATCCACGTTTCTTCGAATTGTCGACTTTTCAATCTCTTCGGCCATTCGTTTTCAGTTTTGAAATCGTACAATTCTCGCATTCGTTGGGTCAATTTGTTAGCTTTGTCTATGGCATCAACTGGCTCGTTGTTTTTCGAACGATTTAAATTAACATCCGGTGATGAATCTAAAGGACAAGTTTTAATTCGATTATTTTTATTCGAAGATTATTTTTTTGCTTTTTTTTTAATTACTGTACCGTGTTCTTTCTCGTTTTCGGAATTATTACGTTCGGACGGTACGGGTGATGCAAATTTTCTCAACGGTGTCCACTTGGTTGCATCGATCGTTTTGTTATCTTCTTCTTTTTTTTTCTGTGAAATTTCTTCACTATTTTTCGAAGGATTATCTTCCATTTGCGTTTTCTTATCGGAATTCATTCGAGGCGTTGGAAATGGTGACGGATTTTTTGCGAATGTTATCCACCTAGTTGCTGCATTTTTCGTTATTTCGTATGAATTCGTGAATTTGGCAAAGGTTGACGCGTCACCGCGAAATCTAACGCTATTTATTTGCGGTATCCATCTAGAAAATAATTATTCATTGTATCATTTCTCTCGTTGACAAATTCTAAGATTTAATTACAAAATTGAATTTATACGTTTGTTTGTAATTGTGTTTTTTTTAGATGTAATAAAGTATCTCATCGATGATTTATACTTATATTTCGTTAAATTGAATTATTACTAATAACTTTTATTCGAACAATTTGTTTAAATAAAGCAGGTATCAAAAGTTATAAAAATTTATAAAAATCTCAGATGCGTCGATACAAATGTTGCCTATCGTAAGGGGTTTGCGCTCAAGTTAGTTCATGTATTCCACCGATAGATGGCTCTGATCAAACTGACTCGAATGATAACGTAGATCTCTACAATTTGATATCGATTTTTGAAAAATTAAATTTTCTGAAATTTATTGTAGTATAATAAATCGTATATTTTTTAATAATCGATAAATAAATTATCATAGGTAAATAAAAAAAATAATCATTAAGAATCGATAAAATTTTTCTATATCGAATGTCGATAAACAAACCATCGTATAAAAAAACTATTATTATTTATATAAACCCATGAAAAAAAATATTGCATTTATAAAGTATATATAGATAGAAAAATATATATATATATTAAAACTGTTAATTATTAAAACGATAAAAAAAACAAACCAACCTTGAGGAAAATCTGATATCACCGCAATCGGTGTGTCTTCGTTCCTCGGTAAATTTGTCTTTTTTAAAAGTAGGTACGTCGGTACTTCGACTACGTGCTGCTACTTGTCTACCATAAAATTTGTTTTTATCTTCAAGTTCCTTTTGATTTTGTACGTTGTTAGTTTTACGATCTTCTTCATTGTGATTGATCTTAGGTGATGAAGTTTGTTGCCACTTTATCGAGTCGTTGTTCTTCGAATTGATTGGAAGATTATCGTATCCTCGTTTTTCTTCATCTTTCGTAGAAATTTGTGCTTGTGCAATTTTTTTAAAACTCGTCTGACCACGTGAAATATTCTTCGCCAATGGTATCCATCTTGAGGTATCCAATTTGGTGGTATCGGTCACGTCGGTATGCCTTCTACCTTCTATTCTTCTTTCGGTATATTTTTTTAAACAATCAACATCTGCACTCCGACTTCTTTGACTTCGCGGTGATCGAGATGGTCTTCGTTGACCGCTGCTGCCCGTAGGGCCAGCCCTTTCCTTCAAAATTTCAATAGGGTTAGTTAGGTTGAACCAAAATTGTTCGTACAGTTTTTATTATTATATTTAGTATTTCATATATTATTCACCTAATATTATTTTTTATTATTTCATATATTATGCACTTATTATAATTTTTATTATTTCATTTATTATTTCACATATTATTCACCTATTATTATTTTATATTATTTATTATTTTCAAAGTAAATTTTAGAAAAAAAAAAAACAATCCGTTATGCCATTTTAAAATAATCAATGTGTTGTTTCAATACAATAAACGAACGAACGAACTTTTGTTTCGTAACCCTAACACATTTATCAGAATAGTTAAAGCATAAATTGTCATAAATATAATAAATTTCAAAAGTTTCTTTTTGATTTTCTTCGAATAGTAAGAAATATATTTTGCACGTTAAGAAACTGCATAAAACTTTTCAAATCCATTTCCTTTCCGTGTGAAACAAACTGCTGGAAAGTGTAAATTTTTGTCGAATAAAGTTCGGACGAATGCCTAACTTTTTTCTTTTTCTTTTTTTTTTTTTTTTTATGTTTCTCTTGTTCTTACCTAAGTAAGATGAAGTCTAGCGTAATCGGATATGTGCAAAATTCCGTGTTCGGCCGATGCCACGTGCAAACTTGCACCACAAGTTCTAGGATTGATCATAGGATTGTGTAATTCTGCAATTTGAGTACTGCAAGCTGCTGCAGGATCACCGCTTGACGTTAAATTACCGCTCCAAAATTCGTTTCCTGTAAGTCAACTGCAATTAGGGATAAGATATAATCGGTTACTACGAAATGAATTTTGATTTCATTGTTCTCATATCATTTCTCGTAGTTTCGATTTGATATTTTTGCATAAGGGTTTGCTTTAAGATTGAACCAAAAATTCGTGCACGTTTTTTTTTTTTGTTTTTTTTTTAATCAATATTTTTAAAAGTAAATTTTAMAAAAAAAAAAACAGCAATTCCCATTATGCAGTTTCAAAGTAAAATTTCGACACGATAAATGCATCAATCTTTTTTTGTTTTACTCTCTACAATATATTATATAAAAAATGAATGAAAATCAAATGAAATAAAGAAAGCAACAACCTGGTAATGCGTTTCCATCCCAAGCATAAGTTACGATCAATAATTTGGTCGAATCGGCAGATCGTAAAAGTTTACTATGGGGTTCTTTCAATGCAAAATGTATCTTGATATCTGTAAGAAAGTTCAATTGGAAAAATCTTGTATTATTAATAATGTTAGATAATTGAATCTGTTAACAAACCTCCGAGATAATCTCCGTTTCCTGTATTACCACATTTTTGGGTTCTGAAGTATGCGAACATAACATCCGTTACGAATTTCAATTTTTTGTTCATTTTTCTGATTGCTATTTCAAACGTTTTTAAAAAATAAATTTCTTGATCCTGTATTATTTTCCATACACCTGTAAATGTAATACAGGATAATGTAAAATTCAAAATGATATATTATATGATTTTTTAAATATTATTCTATTTAAAAACGTTTCCTTCTTTGAATTTATTTCTAAATAATATTCAACATTATTATTATTATTGAAAATAATATATTTAACGTAAGTTTGGAGTCAGACGTTGTTAGGATCGATAAATGTATTTTACCTAATACATCTCAATTAATTTCATGTGCATTCAACCTTGATTTTACTTGATCATAGTAGTAGTAATGGGTGGGGTGGGCTGGGGGGTGTTGGATATTAATTTTGTCGATATTAATTATTTCACATAGTTCGTATTACATGTAACGTATGACTACGTAGAAATTATTATGCGTTTCTAAGTATCATATATTTGAAAAATCAAAACTTTACTTTAATGATATTTGATTAAGTTTATAACAAAATGATAAAATATTTGATTAAATTTTAATTTAAATTTGAGGGGTGAGGCTAACAATCTACCCTTGGTAAAAACAATTAATTGTTTCTAGAAATAGCAATAAAAAAAAGCTTTTATAACAGAACAAAGTAAAAAGTGGAAGAAGAAGTAAAAGAAATGATTAAATAAATAAATAATAAAATACACGTGAGTGATAAAGGTTTTTCGAAATAATAATTATAATTGTGTTGATTTTTTTGTTTTTATTAATACTTACCAAGACCGAATCCTACAACGTGAAGAAATGCAGTCGTGTTTTGCTTCTCGGCTCTTGTATTAGCTTCCAATAATATTATTTCAACGGAAAGTAATGTTCTTTTCATGTAATTTTCAATATCGAAAACTGTCTGACTTGAAAGTGAGAGATATCTTTTATTGTCTTTAGATTTGATACGTTTAACCGTTTCTTCGTAAAGCGGATTATAGATTTCACCATAAAAATTTGCCCATATTATTCTTAGACCACGTTTTTCTTGCGTAGTACCTTCAACGTTTGGACCATATCTGTATGTGTCGAAAATCAAACAATAATTTTTATTTTTATTGATTTTTATTATTTATTATTATCGTTATGCACTCGTGATGATTTTTTTTCTTTCGCATATTCCATGAATTTTATTAACAATTATTTTTTTTCAAATGATTTTAATATTTTTAATATAATTTTGTAAATGTTATACAACAATTCACATACATTAGAAATATTTGTTAAATCATACAACGTGACAAGAGTTTCGTGTAGAATTTTATAATGCAATTTTGAAGATACAAATATTATAGTGTAATTTTTATATACAAAAAGTAAACCTTGCAAATGATTTTTTATTTTTATTAACATTACATAAAATTTTTCTTTTCATTTAATCGAAATTGCAGGTCGTAGTAAAACCTTGATCTCGTGATTTGTTGTTTAATCGATGTAAAAATTTAATTCATTTTCATTTTTTTATATTTATCGAATTTTTTTAACTTTGCAAATAATATTCCCAATGCAATTATTAAAGTTCAACATTTCATTGAAAACAATATGCATTTGTAATGCATGTAAATGACGTATTTAAGATTAAAAAATTCAAAAGAAATTTATATAACATAAATAAAATTAATATAAACATAATTATCACATATTTCA